GCGCCGGAGGGAGCGGGCACTCTCCGGTTGCAGCTGTCTTGCCCTGGCAGCACCCCGTGCCCTCGTGCTGGGCTGGGGGAGGCTGATAGAGTGGGTTTGAAACTCCTTTGTCAGGTTGAGGCATTAGTAAAGCATCTTCTGCCATGGGCTGATGCTTTAGTGATGCTGTCCCAAAGGCAGACAGCCATGAAGATGGTTGCTTGAGGGTGTTCTTGCTGTTTGCAAGGGTGGTGCCCCCCAAGCTGAGGGCTCTGGAAAGGCCGTTTGCTTCTGAATGCTAAAGGAAAGGGTAGATCCCCCCAGGTCACAGTGTCGCCCGTGGGTGCTGGGACACGATGCTGAGGGGTTCTGGGGGTGACCTGCCTTCCTGGGTCTCTGTAGGTCCCGGACCCAACGTGCCCCCGGTGTATGGCCTGGAGGTGACGGATCTCTTGCGGTGGGAGGAGGATGTGCTGAAACCTGCTCTGGAGATTGTGGAGAGCTTCATCCAGGTACTGGGTAACGAGTTAACATGGGAGCCGGGGCTGAGAAGCCAACTTCTTGGTGGTCTCCAGGCCCCATAACTTGGCAGTTCATCTCTCCCACGAGCAGAGCTGACTGCGTACTCATCCAGCCTTGGGCTTGCCTCGCAGTGGCAAGTTGTCTAAGCTGAAAATTTCTCCTCATGCCCAGTACTCCACTTCTCTTGCGTGGTAGAAGTGCAGCGTCTGTCCTGCTAACCGTAGTGTCTGGGGATGGCAAGTTCAGAGCCCAAACTCTACCAAAGCGAACACAGCCAAGGAAATTTTCATAGCGGGAATCAGTTGGAGGTGTTATTTAATCTACAGGGACGTGAGCCTCCAGCAGAGCCTGTGAAGATGGAGTACGACGTAAACGAGAACAAACGGAGTCACCGCGTGTGTGAGCTCTGCGACAGAGTCATCATCGGGGACAGGGAGTGGGCAGGTAGGATCCGGCGAGGGGGTGAGGAGAGGACCTGGGGGGAACACAGCGAGCCCAGCTGTGCAGAGGGATGGAGCGAGGCAGAGCCGCTTCCTTGGCTGTCTCTGCTTGGCCGGGTGACCCTCGGCACATGATCTTGGGCTTTCAGGGATTGTTTACAGCCCGTGTTTGAAAGCAGCCATTTGCAAGCCCGGAGGGGGAGCAGGAGCTGTGCCACAGCAGCCATCTGTCAGGCTTCCCCCCCTTCCCCAGCACCCAGGAAACACTGCCGCTCGCTGCCGTCACGCCAGGCGTGGGGATCTGTACGTAACATCAGACCTCAGGGCTGTCGGGGTTTACTCAGGGCTGCAGGTTCTTCTCAGCGTTTTAGATACTTTGTCAAAAAGCACAGAACAATTTTTTTTCTTCTAAAAATTTGTTGTGTAAAATTAAAATTTCTTATTTAGTAGCTCAGTTTTGCTCGAATATCTCCTATTTGTGTAATTTTTTTTAAAGTATTCCTAGCTGTAATGGTAATAGAAAGGGATTTTTCTATTTTCAATAGAGTTACTTTAAAAGAGCTCAGTTGGAATCAGATTAACTCAGTGAATTTATCTGTGCTGCGAGGCTCATGCTGAGAACCAGCAACGAAAAGTAGCGGAGAAACTGGCTGCAGAAACGAAACTGGTAAATCTCCATGTGTTGCCCCAATGCAGCGTGTGCAGACACAATGCAAAGAGAAATTTCCCAGGTCGCTGGTCATCAGATTGGAACAAGTCGCTTATATTATACCTGCTGAGGCTCAGAGTAAGAGCTCATTGTAGTGAGATCGGTTTGTAAGTGGAATTGTTATTTTAGGCAACGTGGAGGTGCTTTAAAGGAGCTCTACCTACTCCAGAACTAGAGAACTCTGAAAGTTATCAGGGTCCTTCCAGGTCCAGCACGTTTTGTGACCGAGTGGGAACTCCTTGAGATCCCCCAAACGCTACAGCTGCAGCTCCATGTCCCCTGGGGGTGGCATCCCAAATTCTGATGGATGATGGCAATGCCTTTCTCAGCCCAGACCAGCTGTTGTTCTCTGCATCCAGCTGAATTTGGCTCAAATCCCCAGATGGTGGGAGAAAAACAGCCCAAAACCTGGGTGTTGTAACTGCAAAATGTAAAAGCTCAAAGGGAAGTGAAAACGGGAGCTGCGTGGATGTGCAATCTGGTTTGTTTTCTTAAGTCGAGTTACAGATAGTTCTGGGAACTGCTTCCCCCACTGGCTCTGGAAGATTTTAAAAAAATATTTTAAAATTTTTAA